CAAAACACTTGTTGGTAGCAGTAACACTATTATTAAATGGAAGCCTGCGTTGCTTGGCTAAATGGCAGATATCACATGGAAAATCAGATTTATTACAAGTCATGTAAGAGAATTCTTTACAATATTATTCATAACAGAATGAGAAATGTGTCCTAATCGAAAATGCCACAAATTGGAGGCATCAATTGTGGTGGTGCTTGGAGATTTATGCTGAACAGTTGTCTGTGCACACTTGTTATGAGTTTCCATTTCTTCACATACTGGTTGTCCATCAAGCATCAACACAAAGAGGCCATTAACCAACTTAGCAAAACCAATCACTTGGCCCGAAGTTATCTGCTTAATTAAACAAATGCAACCACGAAAGATGAGTTCACAGGAAGCTGATGAAAGAAGCTGTGTAACTAAGATTAAATTCACATGAAACTCGGGAACATATAATGTATCAACAAGTTGTAAAGAATCAGACAAGTTCACAGTGCCTGAATAATGAGCAATTACTTTATGATTGTTTGGCAGCATGATAGAAACTGGTTCAATTTTCTTACCTGAAGAAAATAATAAACTTATTGAGCATATATTGTCTGTAGCTCCTGTATCTAATATCCATTGAGAATTCTTACCAGATGAGGTGACATTGAAAGCTGCACCTACATCACGTATGGCATGGGCAAAATGTGCAGAGTGATTATTGGCTTCAGTTGAAGTGTCAACTTTAGGTTGACTCATCAAATCAAGAAAATTTTGATACTCCTCTTGTGTGATAGACACCTTAGTATCTTTAGTCTCATCAGTGTCTTAAAATGCATCATGAGTAACTGCATTAACAGATGCAGTTCTTGTTCTATTCTTGAAGCCCGGTGGATAACCATGTTTTGCATAACAAGTTTCCACCGTATGGTTTGTATGTCCACAATGAGTGCAAAGTTTGAGTCCTCTCCCTCGACCATTTATTCCTCTGCCATAATATCCTCCACGACCTCTTCCAAAAATTTGCTGATCTGCTGCATATGCCTTTGGCATTAAGGAAGATTCGTGTGGGATCTCAATATTCATTTGGCGTTCTTGCTGTGTGACTAAAGAAAAGGATTTATTCATGTTTGGCAAAGGCTTAATCATCATGATCTAAGATCGAACGTGAGAAAACTGGTCATTAAGACCTTTCAGAAAGATCAACACCCTATCTTGTTCTTTACACTTCTTGAGCTTATCAGATGCTCCACAAGTGCAATTTGGCAAAGGTTGCAAAGTCTCTAGTTCATCCCACAATATTTTCAACTGAGTAAAGAAATCACTTACAGAAGAATCTCCTTGATGAAGACGATGGATTTCTTCATGTAAGTCAGCAATTCTGAAGATGTCCGATTGTGCAAAACGTTGTTGAAGATCTTTCCAGACTTCACATGCTTTTTCAATCAAGAGAATTGATCTACCAATAGATGGTTCAATAGAATGTTGTATCCATGAAAGAACCATTGTATTACAAGGGTTCCAAGCTTGGAATGTAGAATCTTCAGCTTCTGGAACTGTGAAAGTTCCATCAACCAAACTGAGTTTGTTTTTCGAGCGTAATGCCATTTTCATAGCACAAAGCCATGTGTGGTAGTTCTTTCCATTGTGAAGAGGAGTTACAAGAATGAGAGAAGGACTTTCACTAGCATGAAGATACAGAGGATTTGAAGGATTCACCAGATAATCAGGAAGGGAAGCTTGCTGGTTTGCCGTATCACGTGTCGTGTCGTATCCCGTGTCGGTGTCGGTGCAACATAAATTGCAGCAGGTTCCTCATGTACTGTAGCACATCCTGCAGCAATGCCCTATTTTGCATAGTTATCGATTAGCTTTTGTCCTTTTCGTTGTGAACTCAACACTCAGTCTAGAAATTTGGTATGCTCACAGCTTATGCCAAATTCAAAATTCAAAATCACAATGAAAAGAAAAACATCAACTAGCAAATAGAGAAAATTTAGGCTTTTTCCCGAGAACGTTTGGTTTAGAATGTGCATGACAACCATTCTATTCCCTAGCACTGTTTCTGAAAAGAAACAATTCTTTTCTATTTCTGTGCCTTGGAACAGTTTCTGAGAAAAAAAATGTGTTTGACAACATGTTCTATTTTTATTCCAAGAATGAGAATGTGTTTGATAACACAACAAATAATATAATAAAAAATATTTCCTATTAAATATAATTTTTTTTTGAATCATCACTTTCCTTTCCATATGGTGTGGTTGTGGTGGTGGTGGCGGCGGTGTTGCGATAGTGGTGGTGGCAGCGACATGGTGAAGATAGTGGTGGTGGTTGTGACAGCAGTGGCTGCAACGATGGCGGTGGTAATGGTGGCAGCGGCGGTGGTAGTGGTGGGGATGATGGTGGTGGAGGTGACGGCAGTTGCTGCGATAATGGTAGTGGGTATGGTGGCAGCAACAATGGTAGCCGTGGCATGGTTGTGGTGGTTGTGAAGGCATCATGGTGGTGGTGGTGGCAGTGGCTGCGGCGGTGGTGGTAGGTGACAGTGGTGGTGGTGATGGTGGTGGTGGTGGTAGTGGCGGGGGTGGTGTAATGGTGGCGATTGTGACGGTAATGGCTGTGACGATGGTGATGGTGGTTGGTGGCGGCGGCGGCGACAGTGGTGGTGACGATAGTGGCTGTGACAATGGTAGTGGTGGTTGGTGATAGTGGTGGTGATGGTAGTGGTGGCGTCGTGGTGGTGGTAGTGATGGCGATGGGGTGGTGGCAGTGGCGTGTGATGACGATGGTGGCGATGACGGCAGTGGTTGCGATGATGGTGGTGGTGACGGTAACGGTGGCGGTGGCAGTGACAGTGGTGGTGGTGGTGGCGACAGCGATAGTTGTGGTGGTGGTGACGGTGGCATGGTGGCGGTGGCATCGTGAAGGTGAGGGGTGGTGACGACGGCACTAGTGGTACGATGGTGGCGGCAACGATGGTGGCGGCAGTCGTGTCGGGATGATGGTGGTGGTGGTGATGATGGTAGAAGTGGAGAGTGATTGAGAGAGATAAGTGTTTCTCATTGTGTGCCCGTGAAAAAAAAAACAGAAATTTTTTTATTCTTTTTTCTGTTTCCTAGCACAAAAATTAAATTGGTTCATCCCGGGAACAAAAAAATAAACCGGTTTTACCAAACGAGTTTTCTATCCATTTTTGTTTCCGGAAACAGAAATTAAAAAAGAATTGATTTCTGGAAGATTGTCATGCACACCCTTGTAGTCCTAAGCATGACTCTCATCATGTTATAATTCATATGGCTCCCCCAAAGAGACATAGGCCTTATCCTTATTAAAGGTTAACCTCCTCCTATTTTTACTTTAAATTTTCTTCCCTTCTTTTCTTCCATTAGCTCAAGCTACACGAGGGAATATTTGGAACAACTTTGAATGAGCCTGACCACCTTAATTTTAATTAGCCAGAAAACAACTTTAGTCTAAAGCTTATTAATAATCTTATTGTCATGTCATATTTTTGTCTTTTCTTTGGAAAGCTTTGCATTCTCATATGAGTTGAGTCTAAATTCATCTGTTGCACTAAACTTATAAAAGAGATATGCGTAATTAATTCAACAAAACATCCAGTATTGGCAAATTATTCACCAACAAATATGGATATTGCAAATGGGCAGATATAGAAGTTATAGGACCAAATTTTTTAATATTGACCACCTTTTTTTTGCAACAGTGCAATCTCATGGCATAGTTCAAAACCCAAAATTTCCTCTACCTGGACCGGCTTCTGTTGTTGACAAGTCCGATTGCACATTGATTGCTTGCTTCCCGTTATAATTCTTGTAAAGCTCTCCATATCTCCCCAAGATTTTCAGCGCACATCTTTCTAGAAACTTAGCTAATTTATAGTTACAATTAAGATGAAATAAGAGTTAATGACGCGCATTTTAGCCATTTGCAGATGCTATTGATTCTTGTGTACATAATCTTTTGTGCTCTCTTAACTTATGCCAACATTCTTTGCTATTTAGTTCCACGCCGGAGTTAACCCGTAGTTTACTTAAAAGAACAAAATTACATTAATGGAGATGACGGCTGCGTTTAGTATTATTTCTTGAGGAAGATTTGATCTTTACATAGTGTAAAGGAATGACCATTTTTCTGCATAATGTTTCCAATATCCAAGACCAGTTGAGTCTAACTGTTTTTATTCTCTGGTGCTTATGGAAGATTAGAAGTTAAACTGGACAGCAACTGAAGGTATATTATTAGGAAAGGCTCACATTGTAAGTTATGTTGAATGCTGCATTTTTTATTTTCACGTGGCTTATGCTATGGCCCCTCTAATTTTTGGAGGGTGCTCTTCGAAATCCTCAATGTTATGTATTTTGAATGGAAACCAATTGACTCTATGGTTGATGTTTTGGAAATCGATAATCGTCCAACACACAAACATAAAACAACAACAACAAAAAAGAAAAAGAAAAAATTAATACGATAATTTATCCTGATTTATTTAATATAGAAAGCTACATCTAGCTGTCTCTATTATATTCATTTACTCCAATTGTTATAAATCACTCGATTTTTAAAGAATTATAAATAAAATTTAAAAAATTCTAACAAAAATTATTCATGTACTCAAATTCAAACTACTAAAAAAATAAAATTATAATAAATTAGAGGATAATAATATCAGATCTCTATGATTAGTGACGCTACCAATACATCAGTATGCAAAGTAGAAGGAATATCTAACATGGTGGAGTTTTATTTGTTGAGATAAAATTATCCATCTTTGCCCCCCATAAAAGTAGTTATTCACTTTCGTCCTAATTATTTCTGTAGAGGGAGGGTGAGTAGCTTAGATTATGCGAGGCAAATATTGGTCATCAACTGAAGTATTTGACACGTGGATGGAGATTATTGGATTACTGCAGATAAGGATATCTAAAGAGTGGCTTCCAATCTATCCATGTTGTGTGGTGCATAGGACTGTCTTTGCACTGATTTTGACAACTTTGCTTACGCTTATGAAATAAACTGTCTGGAGGACAGAAGTAGCCTAGTCATACTCTGTATCATTTCGTTACTGAGAAAAATGGCAACCATCTCAGCTACTACCCTAACCTCATCGATCACTCGCACTGGTCTTGTGCATAAGCGACCTCTTGGGGTCTCTTCCTCTCCAGTTCTTGGTAAGATTTTCCTAAACTTCCATCCTTAATAGTAAGTATATGATATCTTTCTGCAACACAAGTCTAATCTCTTTCAACCTCTGATTTGGTCAACATATCATCTAATACTACAAAGAAAGAAAGAAAGAAAGAAAGAAAGAAAGAAAGAAAGGGATACATGTTTTAACTGATTGTTGGGTTTTGGATGATCCATGTTGGTTGATGAAACAACCTTTTTCCTTAAAATTAATTGAAAGCATTCAATTCATTTATTTAGGTTTGCCAGCAATGGCTAAGGTGGGAAGAGTGAGGTGCTCCATGGAGGAAAAGCCTTCTGTGCAAGAAAGCAACTCAAAAATGGGGATGGGGGCATCACTGATAGCAGCTGCTTGCGCTGCAACCATGTCAAGCCCAGCCATGGCTTTGGTAGATGAGAGAATGAGCACTGAAGGAACAGGGCTTCCCTTTGGACTCAGCAACAACATTCTTGGTTGGATCCTGTTCGGTGTCTTTGGTCTTATATGGACTCTCTATACTGTCTACACATCAGATCTTGAAGAGGATGAAGAGTCAGGATTGTCCCTTTAAAGCCTGTGTGATGGATCTTAGTAACTGCTGAGAGTCCAGTCATTTTCTGTTGTATTAAAAAAAACTTGTGTGATTAATTTCCTCCTCTTTCTTTGAACTCTCAAATCTCAATCTTTGTTACTTTATTCAGTTGTTTTTTATTTTATTTTATTTTGTTACACTAGCACACTATGTGCCACTGCCTTGGAAGTGGAAAGTAGACCGTATAAGAAGCGTTTTTATAGTGCTTAAAGCAAATCCATATGTAAAAATAGGATAACCGGAAGGAAGCAAAATCAGGATCTTACTTTATCATATGCTTTATTAATTCTCTCAAAAATCCAATTAGCCAAAAGGGTAGAAAAAAGTACATAGGAAGTATTGTGTGTTCGTCCTCCAAATCATAATTTCGAGACCTGTTTCCCATATTTTTAGGGATTAGCTGCAATTGCCGAGGTATATGGGTAAGTTTGAAATAATTGGGTCAGGGAATTATGGAAAGTTAAGGGATTTGAGTACATGTGGGAAGAACATTTTCAATATTATTAGTGAAGCACAGTTTTGCAATTAATGAATACAAGAAAAATCTAGTATCAACAAAATTATGAATATAATTTTGAATTCATTAACAATGTAGCTAATTCTTTTTAATAAGGGTTAACACAATTCACTACTAAAGTCATCAATTGTTGAATTTACTATACAATAAAAATGCTAACAAAAAACTAAACCTAATTTTATTCAATTTCTTTTCCTATTCTTTTAATTAAATTTTTTTATTTGCCGAACTTTTTCCATTAGAGTGTCTCCCATTCTCACGTAACTAGATTACGTTAAGCGATTTGTTTATATTATTTTCAATAAGCACTATTCTAACTTAATTCAAACATTATTTCATTATATTATACAATCATTTTAACGCCTGATCTAGATAAAATACAGTAGACCCACAAAAGGTTAAAGTCTAAACACAATAGGCCCGTAAAGGGTTAAGGGCCCAAGCAATGTGCAATTATTGCTTGGGAATATCCATATCGCGTGTAAGAAATTAGAGGCGCGATGGCTTCATCGTGCACAAATCGTCTTTAACATAACTTCATAGCGAAGGAAGTGATCAAATAGGTAAAAATCCACCGCGCTATAGAACCAATACACAAGAGACAGCACCAGTTTGCCACTATTCTATCAAGCTAGCCTGATATAATGAGATAGGGCCAGAGCAATACCAGCTGAACCTGCAGTCCATCTACAGCTAATCAAAAGATGTACCGCCTATCAAATGCGGTATCTAATTCACTATATAAGCAAATGGTACAAACCCAGGTATAATATTAATTCAGTAAGAATACCACATAAGCCTGACTTTGATACTGACTTAAGCGTTGGAATGTCATTGCAGGTACAACTCCCAGTCAAGATCATCGCGCCAAAGGAGAATCACCTTATCTTGTGATAAATAACTATCAACAGCCTAGAAAACAGATAACCAACCCAAAGTCTTTTCATGTTAACCGTGTGTGATTAGGCCCCGGTCAGCCCATATTGTATTGAACTGGTCAACGCCCAATTGAGTAACTTCAATATTCTATTTTTCGTTAAGTTTGATTTTTTCTATTTAGGTCCATCTGGAATAACTTTTGGTAAGAAAAAAAAAAGAACTCTTCATATATTGTTTTTTTAAAGATTTTTTTAATAAATTTATTTTATATTTGGATTAGTATTTAAAGAACATTTTTAAATAAATAATATTACTTTTTAAATGTAAAAAAAAAATATTAACTTATAAAATATCATTTTAACTTTGAGTTTAATATTTTCATGTTATAGAAGATTATTTTATTTCCTAGGCACATATAAAAATAGAGTTCGTTTTTTCTACCGTCAATGTAGATAACTTATCTACATTGAGCTTAAAAAGACGTCGTTTTGAGACGAAAATCAAGATATTTTTGTAATTATAATTTATTTCAAGATTATAATAGTCTTTTTCATTATAATTTTTTAATTTTTTTCTCAAAACAATGTCGTTTTGAGAGCGAATATAGATAACTTATCTACATTCACTTTAGAAACATTAAAGACATAAAAATAAGTTCTATTTTTTTTTTTATGTGTGCAAAAAATAATTTTATCTCTTAAAGAATATCACACCCTTTTAACTTTTGTATGACTTTTTGTGTGTGTGTGTTTTTTTCAAAAGTTAAGTCTAAATACACACAATCACACATAAAGTAAAGAGCATTTTAAAAAGAAAAAAGTTCACCAATACTCCCGTGGTTTATTTCAGAATCACTTATGCCCCTATGATTTGTAAAAGGGTATGTTTTTTATCACATATACCCCTGTGGTTTTTTTTTTTTTACAAAGCACATGGGCATATGTGATAGAAAAAAACCACAGGAGCATAAGTGATTCTAAAGCAAACCAAGCACATTGGTAAACTTTTCCCTTTTAAAAAATTATGGATTTATTCTCCCACCACGTTGTTAAAAATAAAAACTAAAAACTAAAAACATATTCGGACAAGTTAGTACTCAAACCAAGAAAGCAATGGCAATGGCTACCTCGCTCTCTTCAATTTCACTCTCCTGTTCGTGTTCACCAACTCTAAATACACTCTTCCTTACCAGAACGCTACCACTTTCGCGCCCTATCTCCCTCCCTTTTCTCCCTCTCTCTAAAACCCTAAATTCTCTCTCCCACCGCCGCCGCTGCACATTCGCCGTACGCGCCGAATCCCAAAACGGCGTCGACCCCGTCCGTCATTACGACTTCGACCTTTTCACCATCGGCGCCGGAAGCGGTGGCGTCCGAGCCTCTCGCTTCGCTGCCAGTTACGGCGCTTCGGCTGCTATATGCGAGCTCCCTTTCTCCACCATCTCCTCCGATACCACCGGAGGAGTCGGCGGAACGTGAGTTCCTGAATTTCTCTCTCTCTCTCTCTCTCTCTCTCTCTCTCTCTCTTTTGAAATTAAGTTCATTTGACTTTACTTTGATTTTGATGGTTCTTTGCCTTTTATGCAAGCATAAGAATGAGTGAGCCTCCTTGAGCTCGACTGATAATGGTTTTTTTTATGAATAAAAGTTAACAACTTAGCATTTCCAATAACTAACTTTTCCTGTATTAGTTCCTTCTCACTGTATTCATCGATCGTGGGGTTAAATTTTTTTATTATGACTTTCTGATAGCATTCGAATGCTTCTCTTTATCTTTTCTTTTCGTCTTCTCTGTGCAGTTGTGTAATACGTGGATGTGTGCCAAAGAAGTTGTTTGTCTACGCATCAAAATATTCTCATGAATTTGAAGAAAGTAATGGTTTTGGATGGAAATATGACAGTGAACCCAAGCATGATTGGAGTAGTTTGATAGCTAATAAAAATGCTGAGTTGCAGCGTCTTACTGGTATCTACAAGAATATTTTGAAAAATTCTGGTGTCAAGCTGATTGAAGGCCATGGAAAGGTGGGGTGATACTTTGGATCCATTTCCTAGTACTAAATTGCTCTCCAATTAAACAAAGTATGAAACTTTTATTCTAATTTTGTAGTGATTATGCTTTTATAACCCTCAGATTATAGATCCTCACACGGTTGATGTTGATGGGAAGCTATATTCAGCAAAACACATTTTAGTTGCAGTTGGGGGTCGCCCCTTCATTCCTGATTTTCCTGGAAAGGAACATGCAATAGATTCAGATGCTGCCCTTGATTTACCATCAAAACCTGAGAAAATAGCTATTGTTGGTGGTGGTTACATTGCGTTGGAGTTTGCTGGTATTTTTAATGGTTTGAGAAGCGAGGTTCATGTATTTATTCGGCAAAAGAAGGTTTTACGTGGATTTGATGAAGAGGTACGCAACAATGGATGATACTAAGTATTGAATGGTTATCACATAATAACACTTTCTTCACATTCGAATTGTGAACTATGCCTGCAGATTAGAGATTTTGTTGCAGAACAGATGTCTCTCAGAGGTATTGAATTCCATACTGAGGAGTCTCCCCAAGCTATTGTGAAGTCAGCTGATGGCTCATTCTCTTTAAAGACCAACAAAGGTACAGTGGAAGGTTTCTCACATATTATGTTTGCTACAGGACGCAGACCTAATACTAAGGTATACAATTTCAATTATGTAGTTTTACTTTTCTGTGGTTGCCTGTTTGAAAACTAAATTCAGTGCTGAAAATGAAAATTTTAAGCATAGAAAATGATTTAGAGGTTAGGTGTTTCTTTGTTCCTACCAATATTGACTTTCAGTTGAAAAGTCAATGAATACAGTTTACAAAATTTAAATTATCAAATAACAATAGTTTAAGTATAGCATTAGTTATTCTATTAGATGCCAATAACTTCCTTTAATACATTTTCAGGACTTAAAATTATGTCTTTTCAAACATTACAAATTCAGTTCCGTGCTTAATTTTCCATGAATAATTCTCTGCTGATGCTGAAGCTGATTTCTATAATTATCAAAGACTGTAAACTTTTCAACTCTAGTGTATTTGCACATGCTTCTTAGTTGGCTCAGTTTCCTTAAGGGTTGCATGTTCGTGAAGTTTGTTAGTTAAGTTTTACCTTTGCAATCGTGTTCTTAGTTTATACATGAAACAGAAAAAGATAATAACATAGTGGATGCATTTGTGAACTACACTGCAGAATTTAGGGCTGGAGTCTGTTGGTGTGAAAATGACTAAAGACGGAGCAATAGAGGTAGTTTAAATTTATGATTGGTACTATGTAGCATATATTTTCATATGATCAATTAGTCTCACCACTCTTATGCTTCCTAATACTCCCTTTCCACCCAGGTTGATGAATACTCTCGAACATCAGTTCCTTCAATTTGGGCAGTTGGAGATGTTACAAACAGGATAAATCTCACTCCAGTTGCTTTGATGGAGGGAATGGCGTTAACAAAAACACTGTTTCAGGATGAGCCAACAAAACCTAATTATAGGTATATATACATAGTGCATCATGCCAAACTAGATTAGTCTTAAATGTAAAATAATTTTAGTTTACATTTAAATTCATTGTATGCCTCTTTTATGTGCATTGAGCTGGAGCACAGATGGCATTCTTAAACTGAATATCGTTGATAACAATTGGTAAAAGAACTGAAAAAGGGGAAAAAGTTATCCTTGATTACTTTTAAAGTTTGTATGATATATAGCTATAGGCCTATTTGTATTATTATTATTTTTGTTTCTTACCTACTAAAATAATCATGCCATTTATTGCAATTCAGTCCTGGATTGATCATTTAAGAGACTCAATATGATCAATCTACAATATTTGCTGATACATTGTAAGTAACCCATGTTACTAAAAGACTGCAAGAAATCTCATCTAGCCTTCAATGATGGCTTCAGTGACCAGTGTGAGGCTGACAAATTTATATCATCTAATGGCTTCTTATAGCAAGTCATTATCATAGATCCAGCTGTTGAACTATTTGTAATTATTATGCCAAAAATTAAAAATTTGGGTTAATTTTAATTTTTTTGAAAAGTAATTTATTCACTCATCTTTGATAATATAACAGATAATCGAAAATGGATCTTCACTCACTTTTGTATGATGGAATTATTAAACCATTGTTTCTTAAAAGGTCAAGATATTACCTTGAATTCCTTTAACATATGTGTAAAAAATCAAGAAAAAAAGCTGCGTATTTCAGAAGAGGTGGAGAATTGAAAAAAAATTAATGGATTGCTAATAGAGCTATTGGTGGTGGTGGTTGTTGTAGTGCTAACAAAGCAAATTTTGTCTGTTTTATAATGATTATTGCTAACAATGCACTGTTTGGCACTCTTTTCAACACTTTCTCTATTATTGGGTGAAATCACTTGTGGGTTCCACTAAATAACGTGGGCCTACTCTCTTTTAGTAGGACCTACATGGGATTTTACCTTGTAATAGAGAAAGTGTTGAAAAGAGAGTGACAAGGAGTGTATTCCTAGCATTTCTCTTTAGCATTATGTTTTCCCTTTTCATTTTACCACGTTAATGGTTTTATATATAATATTTCTAACACACCCCTTCATGTAAGAGACCTTACGCTTTTAACTGTAGATAATGCACAGACCCCCCCCCCCCCCTTTCTTATTTTTTGTTTACCTCGTGCTGATTTTAACTTTAGTTTTTATTAGAAAACTGGGGTGATGAGGATTGAATCTGTGACCACTTGGTCACAGGTTATGATACCATGTCATGCAACCAACTCTTCCAAAAGTTTAAGTATTTAAGTGAAGGCCACATTAATGGTTTTATATATTGTATCTCTAACAAATTTAATGTTAACGTGATCACTCATATTCATGATCTTGCTCGTAATGTTGGATGGTAGCATATAGTCTGCTGTGTTTTATTAATTCATAGCCTCCTAACTGATTGTATTATATTCCTCCTTTTCTAGAGCTGTTCCTTCTGCTGTGTTTTCCCAACCACCAATTGGACAAGTTGGTCTTACAGAGGAACAGGTAAGAGCACTATTGTGTGTCTGAATCCATTGTGATCAATGATCTTCTGAATATTTTAATGAATTGTCGAGATCAATGTTTTGCTAACATTTTGGTGATATGCACAGGCTGTACAGCAGTATGGTGATATTGACATCTTCACAGCAAATTTTAGGCCACTAAAGGCTACCCTCTCTGGGCTTCCAGACCGGGTTTTAATGAAATTAGTAGTCTGTGCAAAAACAAATGAAGTTCTTGGTTTGCACATGTGTGGAGATGATGCTGCTGAAATTGTGCAGGTTTTTGTATTTGCTACAGCTGCTTCTGTATTGCTTTGATAATGATACTTGAGTTTTCAATTCACTTCGTTATTCAATTGCTTCATATCCAGGGATTTGCAGTTGCGATTAAAGCTGGATTGACCAAGGCAGACTTTGATGCCACTGTAGGCATTCACCCAACTGCAGCTGAAGAATTTGTCACCATGAGGACTCCCACTAGGAAGATCCGAAAGAGCCAACCTTCTGAGGCAAGTCAAGGATTCTCAGCTTGTGTCTTTTATTGATATATAGTGCAGAAATAATCCTGTATTCTGGTCAGCAAACTGAATAGTTTGATATTTTTTATCCAGTAATGAATACATCAACTGTCCTTACTTTGAACTTGGGAATTGAAAGACACTAGATTTGTTAAAACAAAATAAAAACAACTCTCCTGTGCACACCATGAATGCTTCACTCTGTTTAACAAATCAGCAGCCTTCTCAGGCCTGTTGTACCCCCCCCCCCCCACAAAAAAAAGTCTAGCGATGTGACACTTGGTTCATTTCTATTGAAAAATAATAAAAGGGGAAACTCTGGTGTACAAGATTTCCCGACTTGTGAGGGTAGGGATGAGACCCTTGTATTTTTGCAAAAAAGCTATTCCCCATACTCGAACCTGTGTCTTTCTAATCACAATGAACAACCTTATCGCTGCTCAAGCTTGCCCTCTAGTTATTCTTTATTCATAATACTAGTTCTTATTCTTTCTGACAGTTTTGTAAATCTGTATTTAAAACTTGCATTTGAGTAATGGTTGTTCTGCTTAATGTATTACAGGGAAAGTCAGATTCTGAAGTAAAAGCTGCTGCAGGGGTTTAACGATATTACTTTGCTTAAATTGTTATAACTTAAACCAGCGGTGCCTTAAAGGTAAGAATGATTTTTATTTTTATTTTTAAATACAATTTTTACTTAGGTACATGCTGCATTTAATTTTCTATGGTAACTAAGGACTTCAATATGGTAATGTAGCAGTAGAGATTATCTTATTCTTGTGCAGGAGCAGCATTAAATTATAGGAAATACAACTCTGATAATCTGCACACAAAAAAAGATAAAATAAATAAATAAATACAGTTCTAGTCTTGTAGTCCAGGATACCACATTCATATTTAAAAGATTATTTATTACAAATCTAAAACCACACCTGTCACCATTTGCATTACCAATCGTTGCCGTTGAGTGTTTCATTTGTTCTCTTTGAGTATGGGACTTGGTGTTTGTTTTTGAAACCTTTTACTCTCTTTTCTTGGGTTACCTAAATCTTTACTTTGTTATTGTGCTGGCTTACTTGCTTGTATTCAAGAAACTCTTGGCTCAATGTGGCAGGAAAAAATGTTTTTTTGGAGCTGGTACATGTCTTATGTTTACCGCAGCAACTTGTCTACGTTTTCCCTCATCTTATGCTTGTTGTGTTCTTATATGAGTAGAGTCATGTGGACAAATGAAATTACGAGATGATATGTAATTTCAGTATTTGACAGATAGTTGTTTTTCCTCTGATGTTTAACCAGGCAGGTTGTCACTATGTAAAATTGGCATTGTTGTCAAATTATTAGGAAGAAATTGAGAATGATCTTCAGCAACTGAGCTTTCAGGACAATACTTGAGGTCGTCGTGATTCTTTAGTCTTGCAATGTAATTATGTTTTACAGTTTGGAGCCTGGAGAAGAGGAGAGTGGAATTTTGGGAACTATTATATGCCATTTGTAATATAAATTTTACCTTTCTCCCAAACCTTTCCATATACAAAATCAAGGGGAAATTTCGTGAGGGAATTCGGTTTTAAATAATCTATCTGCTTTGAATTTGAAGTAGTTGGAATTGAGACTGGTAACAGTGGTCAGGATGAGTGATTTTTTTTTTCTTTTTTGTTATAAATATAACATTATCCTTCTCTATATTCGTAATTCCAGCTCGAAAGTTTATCCAGCCCAGAGATGCAGACAGTCATAATGTTCATGCAATCTTCGTCTCAACCATTGGGTATGCCTCCCTCGCTTGGCCTCTTGTCCTCATATTCTGTTTATACTTTAGAGAATTAAGTATTTAACATCTCCTTTGATTTACACGATTTTTAATAAGGGTGTATTTGATTCTTGATTTAATTCAGAATTTTAGGGTGAGGACACTCTTCTGCACCTTAAAATAAATTCATCTTAAGTGCTTTTTTTATAACCATTGTTCATAAAGGCTATCATGTGAAGTCTGGGGATATGTTAGAAAATTCAGGTTCTTTCCACCAACCAGAATATCATGTGAGTGTAACGGCATATCTCAGAAAACTCCAAGATCTTCCCAGCAACTAGAAGACCTATTTTATCAATTTTACTTTCAACCAAATCAAATGCAATCAAGAACTTTCTTCTTCCTTATGGTATAAACTAAGGCCCATTATTCTTATTCCTAGATGAACTTTATATTTTCCTGGAAATTAACAGTGTAATTTTGGAAGTATAAACTTGAGAAGTCTCGGAGAATGTATATTGGAAGTTTATTTATCCTGGAAGATCTGGACAACCGGGATTTTTGGAGGCGAAGCACTTGGTGTGGAGAGGAGCCGGTGCATGGTACCAAAATAGGCTTTGAGTTAGAGATATGCAAGAGATTATGGGGCCACTTTAATCAGATTAGCAATTCAATGGTATAAATAAGATATATGATTTAGCAATTCAATGATATAATTTGACACAGCAGCAATGAAGAGAACATGAAGCCATGAGCCACGTCACGTTGCCTTTATTTTTATTTTGGTGATCGGGCGACGTTGCTTGGCGAACGTGCTAAAGATATCTCATCGATTTATTTGGGATTTTGAAAAGACAGAACAATAAATATATGAGGATTCGTATCTACGTATGATCTCTGCACCAAAAAGAAGCGCGCGCGCACACAATAATCCCAGTTACATGGCTGACCTTCTCATTGGCAATAGATTACTCCCTTACTTTTAAGATTGTAGGGGGGGAAATGTCTTCTGTTTGTTCATTGCACATGATCTTCGTTTTATAGCATTGAAATGTTATATGCTGTTATCATAAAGAAATATTCTATGCTTTTAATCTTAAGATGCGTTTGGTTCAGTACATATATAATTGAAGAAGGATTGATTCCAAAGGCCACTTTAACTCTAGAAAAATGGACATTCGGAATATAATGGTTCTCATTTTTAGCTTTGAAGTATTTATCGTGGGGCAATTTGTGTTTTAACTTGCTACTTACAACCACCTTTTCACGCACACAAACAGACACACACCACCTTTACACTTCTATGTTATAACTTTTATTCACATTATCAGATGTAGCGAGACCTAGCTGAGTGAGATGGAGATGCATATCTTCGGGGTGATCGTCAAGTTTTGGTCGCTCAGGCTGCACCCAGCGTCCATCATCACTCCTGATCATGCCCTTGTTCTCATCTTGCCTCCAATGTGGTGGAACCGAGTAATGATCTTTCAGGAAATCACAGGCCTTGTTCACCAGAGCAGGGTCCCTACCAGTCGCTAGCACGAATCTTTGACCCCTTCCATGGTATCTGCCCATCATCAAGGTGTAGCCAAGCAAAAAATTAACCTACTTGCATGGATTATCCTATTTAGCAATTGAAAACTTCACTAATAATTATTAGTTATTAATTCAGCAACAAATTAAAGGTCATCGGTATACAATAATTATGCTTGATTTAATTAACTCACCACTTTCTAATGTTACCATGATCAGAATGTCATTATTAACACAAACTTAAGTATTATCTATCCTGAACTTGTAACAACTAGCCATATCATTTTTCTTTTGGTAGATAACTGGCTATATCATTTTGTTTTCATCACTTGACTAACTCGATCGACGGCTGAAGTAATACGTTGTCTCTTAGGTTTGACCAGCCAAAGGACTAGTATCTATTCTCTGTAGTATGAACGTCTCCCTCTCTCTCTCTCTCTCTCTCTCTCTGTGTGTGTGTGTGTCTTTATATATATTCTCACCATGTCTATGTGCCCAAAAAAATCATCACTATTCAGATCTGGAGATCATGGGTACTAATTAATTAAAATGCTGACTCGTCATAAAAACCTTCTATCCCTTTCTATACATGAATTGACCTTCTTTTTTATATGCGTAACTAACATTGTAGAAATAGGTGGCTCATCTCTTGATTCCATGCTCTGAATAATAAATTCATACCACAATATAATCTATCCCTATCACACCTAACAGTGACAGAAGCTTATATTTAAAAAAATAAAAAATTGAGTTGCTTTTAAGACTTCAGGGCTAAAACCTTTCGGCATGATCAGCTATTTATTGAGTTAGGTTGGCGGGAAACACGATGCCAATTGCCAACCATACTCAGTTTCAAAGGAATAAATCTTGGGTTTTATTAATGTTATTTTACATAACATAAGTTTAGTTTTCAACACACAGAAAGAGATAAAGTGAAATGATAAAAGAGAAAGAAAAATATGTGAATTTCACTTCTTTAATGTGTGTGTAAAAAAGTGAAGTTATATTATGTAACATAATAAACATAAAACCCATAAATCTTAGGTGTAATGTTTCGAAAAGTGGGATGCCGCTGAAATTTTTGGTGCAATTTATTCGTTTCAAAGACCGTGCCTTGCACCATTGCTTATGGACCTGGCAAAAGAAATTTTGTATTTTTTTTTTCTCTCCGAAACCTTCCACACATGACTCGCATGATCCCCCCGTATAAATAGGAAATACGAACATCTTCACACCAATAATTGAGATCAACCTACCAAAATGTTTTTTTTATCTCCCCCAAAAATGACCATAATAATTTTTAATTTATTTCTCGACCAGAACAGAACCCAAGTAATTGGGTTCAAGTTATATTAGGTCATATATGAACGGTTCTCCTAAAACAACTCGAAATCTCTAATTATGAAAAAAAATCACTTCTTACACTTGAACCGCTATTTCTTTCTATCTACAACAATTTTGAAATCTCCTTGACAAAATGCAACTTTCATCTCTAATATGACCGAGATTATTTAATGAAAGTAAAGGAACATAACCGGTAGACGCGGGAATTTTAATTAATCGATAAAAATTCTAAATGAGACTGAGTACCATAATATTTAGTAACTTAAAAAGAAAGAGTTTGAATGCGTTAGTGAGTTAATTAAGAATATCAATTGTATGAGTATCAATGCGTTAGTGTTCACACACGCAATATTAATGGCATAGATAGTCATGGAATGAAAACACTGACCCGTTCTTTCACCAAAAAAAGAAAAAGAAAACACTGACCCGTCAAGCAAATGCAAAAGAGCCTCCAAGTTATGAGCACACACAGCATCACCATTAGGGTTAAGAAACGGCGAGTTCTTATGATCCAAAACAAGTTCCGCCCCAACATGCGAATAACTCCACGGCAAACCCTCCGCGAGCTTCATAACCGACGGATGAAGCTGCTCGTTGAACAAAAACCCCGGCGTCTTAGGTACCACATCATGCACATTCACCACCCTCAACACCTTCACCCCAAGCCTCTCCAACCTTTCCTTAAACCTCACATTCCCAACCCTAGGACCCGAAAACGACATAACCGAAACCGGAACGACACGACCATCCCCCATAACGTTCAAGCCCGTTTCAACAATGTCATAAGCACTCAACATAGCCAAAGCACTCCCCAAGCTATGCCCCGTTATGGTAACACTAAGTTCCTCATTAGGGAACATCTCTAACAACCTCTTAACCTCCGTTAGAATCTGCTCCCTCGCTGAGTACTTACAATAACCGCAACTCTCTTCCTTATCAGTGTAAAGCTCTAAGAACCCTGATTCAACCTTGACCGTTGGATCAGGACAAGGGATGAGGTTGTTGTTGGAGATTGGTTTGAGGAAATCCATGAGGTCTGCGACCCATTCAAGGTATGTAACTGTTCCACGCCATGAAATTGTTATGTCCCTTCTCCCGAGTCTCTTGCTTGTGTTGTCGTCCGAAACGGCGACGTATCCTGCCCAGTTTGCGTTCTTGCTCCACATCTTGGCCCACCGTGATTTTTTGAAGAAGTTTGGGAGGTTGATGTTTGCGGTGGCGTAGAGGTAGCGCGTGACGTTGTAGCCGTGGTGTGACATGCCGAGTGAAGAGAGGAAGTTGCGGCGCGTGAACCTGCAGCTCCCGCAGTATTTTGAGAATGGGTCGAAGTCGAAGGCGTCGTAGCATGCTTGGGCCATCTCGCCGTAGCGGATTAGCTCAGACCGTAGGAGAGGGTCCATGGGCTCTAAAAGCCCGGCCCAGTCGTTATCGCCGTGGATTTCGCGCCACAACTCTGGTAATCGCTGATAATGATTATGATGATGATGTTGCTCTAACTTGGGTTTTATGTATAGGTTATGCGTTGCTTCTTCTGATTCAAGTGGGAGAACTTCTTGTTCTCTTGATGGCATAGAGGAGTTGGTGATTAGAGTGGGTTTTTTGGGCTTTTGGTTTTGGATTAGAGATGATGATGATGATGGTGGTGTTGAGAATTTGGTGTATGTTTTGGAGAAGGGAATGAACATGCTTGAGATTGAAGCAGCCATTGGATTGATAGTGATGATGTTGGGAATAGGGAGATAGCTAACTCTAACCTTGAATAATATGAGAGAAATTTATGTGCATAGGAATTTGTGTATATAATGTGAATATGGGTCGCAGACTATAAGTGCAATCAATATAAATGAGCACTATACTTTATATAAAAATAACATGTGAGTTGTATTTGAATTAAAGAAAGCAGAAGATGACAAAATATTCAATTCCGCTCTATCACGCTACCAGTGAGTCTATGATCTTATGTTTAGTCTAATCTCATTTTGAATATGGAGTCAATGACCCTACGATGTACGATGATCTACACTGCATTTCTATTATGATTTTAAAAATTACTATTATTAAATAATAATTAGAGTATTTATTATATATTGTGTCTAAGAAAAAAAAAAATTACTCCGACTTTGATAGACCAATTATCTAAGGAGAATGTTATTCTCTTCTCAATCAATTTTTCTTGCATAGGCATACAAACACGGTCAATACGGTGCTCTCTTTTTGAATACTCCCGTTTGTCAGTCTCATTTTTGATATAAAGATATTCTTTACTACAAAGAGTAATTTTAATTGAAAAAATAATTTTTTTTTTGTTACCCCCTCGATATTTTTTTACTATATATATATATTATTTAATGTAACATGTCATCGACAGTATTCACATGTTAACTTCTGAATGCATGATGGTGAGATATCAATGCACCTTAAGTATGGTGAATGTGATCATATAGACGGTGCTCTGCCCCAAAAATGATATATTCCCAACATTATTTTCTTACCGTGCTTGTGATAGTTGTAGATGACAGACATAGTGATAGAGGGAGAAGCTTGACAATGAGGGGGACTTGTTTAGTAATTGAAGCAAGTACATGGTCTACATGGGTAATTAGGGAGTAGTTTTGGTTAATTTAAACTATGTTAATCTTCTATAACATGAATTAATTATACTCAGCTGACAATGTAGTTGCACATATATATATGTATAATATAATCTCATTACCTTGCGTGATGGTGAAAACATGCATAATCTGATGATTTTTTTAATGCATGACCTGTCTTGGGGACGTAAAGAGGATGATTAAAGCATACGTAAGCACATCTAACATTAATTTAGAAAAGCGTTAAACCAAAGTTTCCTTTACTCTTCACATATGACCGCAGAAACAAAAAGTCATTCACATTTTTATTGAAAATACGGGCATGAGATGCGCCGTGTCCCCCAATATATAATTTTATGTTAGAATTTGATTCTCGAGGATTGCAAATCAACTACTGGACCTTTTATTTGGTTTTTTGACCCCTTTATTAAATCAATATTGTTTTCACGACCCATTTAGTAGGTAGGTCTCATCAATCTTGGAGAATGAGTCCTATTGTGAGCTAAATTCGTAGTTTATAAGCCTTAGGTGGTGTTTGGTTTGGAGCTTTTCAAGAGATATCTATGTTTCTCAAATATGGCTTTTAGAAACACCGTGTTTGTTTCAACATATTTTCACCAAAAACCCATCTATCCAATTTGTATGGATTTATAAGAAACATAAATATTCGCACTGTTTAGGAACCCAGTTTGAAGGTGAGATTTTTTGGAAAACTGGTTATCTCACTTTTAATGCACTGTTGATTTCATGAAAGTTACCTAATTTTCCCAGTAAAGTTTTTCCCCACCAAACAACTTTTTTTTACATTTTTCTACCTATCTCACTTTATCTCACTTTTCAATCATTTCTTTATCTATCTCATTTTCCTACTATTCCAAAAAAATTTCTTCAACCAAACGTCTCCTTATAGATAATTCTCATGAAACCTCAACCTCTAGTTATTATTATGCACACACTCCTTCTAACTTTTTGCCTATTGTTTCTATTGGAAGTTATTTGTAATTCTGAGTTTATTTATGGGCAATATTTTTTGGTTTGTCTTGTGCTTTTCTTAATTCCACCTGAAAGTGGGGGCGGTGAGGATCGAACTTGTGATCTTGTGATCACTGAAGTTCTGATACCATGCGAAGAACCATTTCAACTCAAAACCTTAAGGTGTTGAGTGAAGATCTTTTTAATGATTTATATTATTTTCTCTAACAGTTTGTTTGTGCATAATAATCTCATAATCTATTATCACATGTAACTGTTTCCTCCATAATCACTATTAGTTTATAGAGAATGATTATTTTGACAACTTTTTTTTACAAACTTACAAATTACACTATGTCTTACCAGTAAGACTTCACTCAAAAGTGTCTTACCGGTAAGACATAGTGTATTTTATAAGAATTTGTAAACACATTTTTTGTAAATATAACATTCTCTACCTACAATCCACCAAAATTGAACATACATGTTGAAGTAATCTAAAAGGAACAAAGAAAACTGACTGATATTTTATTCTCAGACATGCATCATTAATATTGGTTCTTAGCACACATTTGATCAAGAAAAGTGCCTATTTTAGGGGTTATTATCATCACTGGCAAGGGCAACCTCCAGCCTGTGAAAGCGTGATATTTAATTGCACATTGCCATGGGAATCACCCATTAGTTTTTGACACTTAAAAGCCTTATGTCATTCTCCGACAGTTGGCGATAAATAACATTTCGTGAACAATTATATATATACACATGTCAAACAATATGTTCATAATATTTTATTGAGTGAAAGGTAATTAATAAATTAGTAAAATGATAAGATTATTCGGAATAATATGGTGCGTACAGTGGGAATGAGAGCAAAAGGGAATGAGATTCGATTCATTTCATTAGCAGGGAATGGCACGTGTTGTTAGAAAGAATATCTTTAGTGTGTTCCAAAAAAATAAAAAATATATATCTTTACAATATCTGTAAATATTTATTTTTTTATTTCATTAGGATTTGAGTTAAGTCTAGAATAAGCCCATTAGTGTATCAATATATATTGTACCTCTTGTATCAATTCAATACACACAGATATATTTCAATGTTCCTTTTATCTCTTGTTATTCAATATGGTATCTAGAGTCTAACGAGAGGAATCCAAACCCGTTTTCGGCGAATCCACTGTTCATCAAACTTTTCAATTTTTTTTTCGGATACTTTCTCCTTGTCAATTTCCGGAAATCTCTTTTACTCTTAGGTCGTTGTTGCGTTGCTCCTCTGTCGTTCATCCGGAAGCCTGACGCCACAACCCACTATCTCCCTTTTTTCGACTAGTTTTTTGGCTGCCACCACCACCAGTCAGTTCGTCTTCTCAGCACAGTCACCGTCGTTCAAGCCGCATCGCGAAACACCGCCACACGCACCCTCACGCGTCGGCAAGGGGACACACATTTTTTTGCACAGTAGCATCTTCCCCACGCGCGTGACAGCGCATGAGACCTCTTTTCCACGAGTCGTCTTTACCGTTGCACTCTCCTTCTCGTTCTGGTGTTGGATCTGGTCTTGGGTGGTTGATCTGAGACTGTTTCAAAATACGCCAATATTGTCAACACGGTTTGTTTGTTTTGTGATTTGTCTTTTGCTTTTCTTTTCTTTTTGATATTATGAATTTTACTGCTATCTCTTCTATTTCTGGGTCTCCGGTGTTGGACAAGTGGTCTCAAACTCAAGATGGGGGTGAATTGAGTTTTAAAAATATTTTCACAAAATGCCTCACTTCCTTTCTTGAAAGCGATTTTCTTAAGTTAATATAATTTGGCACAAGCAAAACTTAGAGAATAGAAATTAATACAAGCAAATAGTATGTAATGTGGAGATATAAATAAGTTCAAGTAATCAAATAATGCTAAAGTAAAGAGATAAAGAGTTAGAGAGATTGCAAACACTATATATCCTGTTCGGTCACCACCACCGTGACCTACGTCCAAATTGAAACCGCTCGTTCAACTTTCCACTAATTATCAAGCTTCAAGGGTGCTTGACAAACCGCTACAACCTTCAAGAATATAGATTCTTGAAACCTTTACACTTCCACTCACTTACTTTGGTTATGAGCAACCTCTTTCACTAGGGTCTCACTACCCTTAACACAAATGGACAGAATGAGAGTATTTAGAAAAGGATTTGTACTCTTGAAGTACAGATTATACAAGTTGAAGCTTATAGGTATTGATCAATGAAACAAGAATAGAGCTCAAAGATGATTTATGATCAAGATGTTGGAAAGTAAGAAAATGATGTGAAATAAAGCAAGAATAATGATTTTGAAAGGTGTACCATCAAGGGGAACAATGATCACTATTTATAGAGGGCCCCATGACCCTTTGCACACTCATTTTCGCAAAACTAGTCGTTTATATCCGTTATACTGTTTATTGTCAAGTAAGTATTTGAATACTATTCGTAAGGTATTTGAATACTTCAACTGGTATTCGAATATTTTTCTCAAGGTATTCGAATACTTTGTTCTCAGCATAAGTATTCGAATACAGCCAATAAAGTATTCGAATACTCTCTTTGACAGATCATCAATTATGTAGTTTTATGAGTTGTAAAGCATTCATTTTAGTCTCTAATCACTTTTAATGTATTTCCTTGACTTGTACATAATGTTTTGAGGTTACGAAATATGTCAAGGGTCTTTTTCATAATAATCAAAGCTTTCAAGTGATTGATGACATGGATAATGCATGCATAGAGTTAAATGTCCTTTGAGCTCTTTTGTGCATCATTAATCAATTACCTTTACAATTAGATCTAAGCTCTCAAGAGCATGTTTCAACCTTGATCTTGTGTGTTGAATGATTTGCTCTTGTTGTCTTGTTTGAATTGCTTCCTTGGACTTTTGATTGTTGCGAGTTGTATTATCTTTAACGTCGCTTCTATGCTTGTTTGTTATCATCAAAACTCTTGCATCAGTGACTCTTCATTTTAAGTGCATTGGTTTCACATCCGACTGTTCCCAAGTTAGAGTCTACTATTTTTTCCAATTATATTCTTGCTCCATTGAGTGTGGATAAATTGGATGGGTGGAACTATGATTCTTGATTATCAGATCTGCGACTTTCGTTGGATGGGCAGAATTATAATCCCATCTCACTACTAATGATGACTATTGCGGATAATGAGCGCACACGATGGAAGATGATTGATGCTCAGTTGTGCAATCTTATTAAA